TTTGATGGGCTTGTGGTGGCCATGCATCAAAACTACTGGTTGTATCGAAATATTTAATCGAATTACAATTCGAGTTGATGCCTGACATGGCCAACATTTGTTTTTAGCATTTGTTTGTTCTTTCCTTTTAGCTAATATATTTTTCACAGACCAAAACTTTAAGCCAACCAACAAACGAGCAGCTCTGTTTGATTTCATGGATAGAAAATAGAAAATAGAAACTACCCAGTAGTAGAAGAGGAATTTGGGAAATATCAGTTAACAGCTTATCCTCAAATATTAATGGCAGTCTAATACTTTATTTTTCTTTTCAGATTAAATATCATATAATAAAAAAAAAACAAGCAAATATATTTGTATGTTAAACAAAGCTAAATTAAAAATATTTTTTTCCTACCATCATAGATGCGAAATGTATAGTATTGTTGCAGCCAGAATATCCCCAGCAAATATTATTTGCCTACTAGTTTTTTGAGGTCTATTTTTATTCAGCTTTGGCACAGATAAAAAATGCATTGAATGTTATTTGTTTCACGCCCGCGCTCAGAACATGAAATAAGCTGGAATTTAAATATTTGCATACTTCCTATGTCCTCTTTTATTTGCATTGTTTAACATAGATAGGGGGAAAACGGCGATAAGGGATGCGCGGCTGACAATTTGTTTCTCTTGTTAAAAGCTTGCGCTTGAATAATTGAACAAAAGCTGCTGGCAATTGAATATTAATGAGCAATTAGTGGAGGACCCTCGACAAACACTAATAACTACAAAACTAAGCCAAATGCACTTCGCACGGTCAACACTGCGTATGGGCAATATTTATGGGAAACGCACACCCGAAAGAGCCATAAAACATGCCAAAGAGTTTACCAAGGTGCCAACACAGACTCGAGCGATATAAATTATTTGCAGCAGACTGATTGGCAAAAGCAATTGCAGGCGGGCAAGGAAATGGAAATGGAAAATGGGGAACAAAACCGGGCGAGCAATTCAACTGAAGCTGTATACGTATACATAACAGCTGCAACCGCAAAAGAACGAGCGGGGAAGGGCGGGAAATCTAGTGGTAGGGGGGGGATGAGGGGTGTGGAAAGCCGAGAGGAAAAACTAAAAGAAGGCGGAACAAGGAGGCCAATGAAAGGCCGTTCAGGACATGGGAACAAGGCGCAAACACTCGACTGCAAAGATAGAGAAAAATGGCGCATGAAATGAAGCGGAAATGGTGCAAAAAGGAACCCAACAGCAAGGACGAGGGGGCGATGCGGAACCGGAAGTGGGACTTGGAATGCCGGGAAAGTGGCAGGGAGGAAGGGGCGGTCGGCAGCCACTTACAGAGCTGAACTAATATGTACATTAGTATCTTTTGAATGCATGCGAACAACTGATAAATGTCTGGTCATGTCTGAATCTACACACAGACACACACACACTTGCATATCTGGGGTGTGTGAGCTTGCGGTGAATGAAATCGAGCGTCGCATGAAAAATGTATGCCATTTATTTTACTTTATTTTAGTTTGCCCCGTCGCCATCCGCTTTTCCTGGGCCCGTTCCACGTACAGCAAACAGCTGGCATTGGCAAAGGGCAAACAATGAGACATTGCTTTGGCTTGCATTCGGAAAACTGCACTTTGATGGGCCACACACACACACACCCACCCACACCCCCGCATCACACACACAAAGGCGGCAATTGTGTCATGCGCCATCGGAGGGTGGATTGACAAGTTCTGGCAGAACATTTTATTTAACGATTTTTCATGTAAAAATTATTCATCCTGGCTGCTTATTTGTTGAGTATATAATGGTATCAACATTAAAATTCAGCGTTGCATAGGTTGAAATGAACTTGTAATGGGTAAACTTTATTTTTTTTCGTGTATATTATCTAGACAGTTTAATCATTCGTTTTTAAACACGCTTTCTCTTCACCAGAAGAGAACATATCAAATGTGTTTGTATTTGTAAGCTTTCCTTGATAATGTTTTGACATTTTGAATCCCTTGTAAGGCCAGTAAAGATAAAAAAACAAAATTGTACATCCCTTACAATTAACTAAGAACGTAAATGAAATATAATTTGAAGTGGAAGTATTCTGAAATTAAAGACTTAAATATTTTTTAAATATGTTTTGAAGTGTTGCCTAACACGAAACAAACTTTCAGTTTAAACTTAAGCCTCAACCCTCTCGTTTTAGTTATTTGCTTGATTTATGACTTGGCAGGGTAAACAAGCAAGGCAAAAAGAGCCAGTGCCTGGGAACTATTTCCCAGTAAAAGGCGGCATCCAAAACTATTGCATAGATAGGCAATTTTCGTAATTGCTGCGATGCGGATGCGGATGTGAGTGCGAATCCGAATGAGTTGTAGTGGAAGGGGGCAGGGATAGGGGGGCGTGGTCAGGAGCAGAGTGCGGTGAACCAAAGTTGATTTATAGCCATGTGCGTCCTGTGCCGCTGCCTCAAAGGACACACTGCATAAATATGCGATAAGCCCGACTATAAAAAGCGAATGACATTCCCACACACTCACACACGGCTGACACACACGCACACACACACACACACGCAGATAGGGAAACAGTTGGCATACACTTGCATAATGTATGCAGGCGACTGCCGGACAAGTTGCGAACCGCAACAAGTGCACTCACCATGGCCAGGAGGGTCGGGCCAGAAGGATCAGACAGGTGCGGCTGGGTGTGCATTTAAGCGACATGTGTCGTCTTCACACTCAACTGCACTTCAAACGAGCCCAGCGCACGTTCCCAGGTCCTAAACTCTCCATCTCAGTTAGCTTCTGCTACAGTAATGCCTGCCTAAGCATTTATTCCACCATCAGACAAAGTACATACTATTTTTTCAATTTTAAATATTAGTTATATTTAAATTGTTAAGTCCATAATAACATTAAAAACAATAATGACAAAAATTATAATCATTTAAAAAAAGAATATTAAAATAACTTTAAGGAAACAAAACGCATTATTTTATACCTTCTACCTTAATATTTTAAGGGCCGAGATTTTACTTCCGGTTAGATTTAGATTAAGTAGAATAGATTTATGAAAGCATCCCCAAACTTGAGAATTTGTAAAAGAGTTTAAGCAACTTTAATTGCATTTTAAATTTGGTGATAATAAGATTATGAAAGTAATTTGGTTTGCTATCATTTATCAAAAGTTCGAACTAGAAAAGTTCGATTTAAAAAAGTTCGCCTGTAGTTACCTTGAACACTAGTGGGCTGGCATAAACTTCCGCATTAAATCGACTTTGAACTTGAAAACGTTAGTTACACGGCAAAAGCGCATGCTGGCATTTGAAGGTTATTATGGTCGGAACTTTGTGAACGCACCTAGAACGAAGGGCTTTTCTCCACCCAGTGCACCCAGGCTGTTGCGTAATAAGGCCTCTTTAGTCGTCTCCTCCTCAACGGAATTAGAAGGGAGTCTTTTTTGTAGTTCGGCTTCTACTTTTGCCAAATTCCACCCAAAGGCTGAAGCGTTTGCTTTCATGCTCAAACGAAAGCATATATGACAGAAAAAAGCTAATTCAAGTGGCTGCTAATGAGAAATGGTAGGTGGAAAATGTGAAGTTTCAAGCCAGAAAGAAGGAATTGAAATCGATCAAAGAGCAAAGAAATCCCTTTGGATATAAAAAGAAAATAAAACAAAATGGATTCTATTATTAATTTTCGAGTTCTGTTGTCACATCCTTTTCTTATCTATGTACCACTTTTGTTATTCCACCTTAAGGCCAGTTTAAATCATATCAGTAAGTTGGCCACATCCCTCCCTCTTTTCTAGACTATAAGCTCCATGGACATTAAACATGCAACATTCTCGCTTTGGGTTTTATGGCGCCGCAATGTATATTATGATCACGCACACACATGCAGGCCACCCACACACAGTTGTGCTAAAATATTTATCAGTAAAGGAATGTTTCGAAATATAGTACAATCATAAATTATTATTATTTAATTGGGGCTAAAAATTATTTAACTAATGAATTTAGCAAAACTTGCCCAACATACAGCTTTCATATTTGTAACTATATTAAAAAGATATAAGTCTTGGGTTATTAAATTATTCTTGACAAGAATTTAATTTGGAGAGCTTAAATTACTTTCATGTTTTAATCACAATTAAAGATTAGACATGCGGTATTTAATTTATTGAATCAATATATTATGAGCTAGTAATTATAAAACGACATAGCTTGCTTTCACTTAACCTTAAACGTACAAAGACCTTAAATAAACCAAAAACTATCAAAAAGCTATAAAGCAAATAACCTTGAAGAAATACTATTTATTATTTATAATTGTACTAACTACCATGTTGACCGCAGTTGTAACCGCACACTTGTAACTAAATGCGATGACATTCTACCAGGCGGCATCGCTCCTGGGATATTTTCCCTCTTTGCCCTTATTTTTATGCGTTTTAAATTTATTTTGCTGCCGCTGTCGCAACATTGGGACAAAGGGGGACGGAAAAGCGGAGGAAGCGGAAGACGAAAGGAGCCATTGGCAATGGCGCCTGTCGCACGCACGCAAAACTTCCGCCACTCGCAGACACACACATGAGCTTGTATGCGTAAATACGTGCACATGTGTGTGTGTGTGTGTGTGGCAGGCCTGGGGCAAGAAAAGAAATAAAGGAAAATAAAGAAAACAACGCTTGGCTTGCCAGTCTTCATATTTATTTATCGTGCCAAGTGATTCCGTGTAATTGCAGAAATTGCGTTAAATTATTTAACAAGCGGGCGAGGCGGCAGCATTTGAAATTCATTTACACTTTACGCACAATACGGAGAGGAAATTGAATACAATAAATTTCGCAGCGAAAAATACCGCAGACCTACAGGAAATTATTTTCCACCAAACACGAGGGGAAACAAAAAAAAAAGGAGCAGCCGCACAAATTTAATTTGCTATTTATTAGTATTAGTTAGTCTGTGTACGAAAATTTATTGTCTAATTGAATTTTTATTGCAGAATGCAGAAACCAGAAGGCAATCGGATGCGAAATTTACTTCAAGGATATGAAAATAGCACATCAAATGGGCCATAAACACACGACAGCAAACGGAAGAGCTTAAATAAACCAAAAAGAGTACAAAACAGCAGCAGCAACAAAGCCAAGTCGGCAACAATCAACAGCACAAAGCAACACTGCCACAGAGAAATCTAAAAAAAAAAAAGCACAAATAAGGGGAAGTCGGAAAGAAAAGTGAAAGCCAAAAGCCGAAATTGTAAACGCTCCATGTAAACACTTGAAAGCTCGTTAGGATAATACATCCTGCCCGGTACCAAGCACACGCTGGCACAAAAAAACGGCGAGGAGAAAGTAGGGAAAGTGTCACCATGTGCCGTCCCGCGTGTCTGAGTGGCCGCCAGCTGAAACAACGGCACCACCTCAAATGCCCACCCACCCACACAGACACAGACACACACATGCGGCAGCAGGCCATTGCCATTGCCATTGCCGTTGCATAGTCGCGCTTCCGTTTCCGTCTACTCCTCATTTCCGCTGCGGCTGCAATTAAGCGAAGCGAAGCATCCCGAAAAACACACCGAATATCCACAAAATGGCGCACGAGACCAGCTTTAATGGTGGGTACACATGGCAGGAGTGGCACTTGGGTCATTAAGTCCATATTTTATTGTAATTAAAAGTCTGCCTTCTTAAATTATGTGTTTTAAAATAGTAAATTTACGTTTTACACGTTCCTTTGTTAGCCATGTTTAGGGATAAAAACAAATTGTTTGTTTTAAATTTCGAAAGTAATAGAAACAACCCAAGAAACTGCTAATTACTGCTATTCCTATTTGGAAATATCAGACATAAGTTTTAGTTGATTAATTAAAGCTAAATTCGCTGCGAAGTAATAACTTATTAGATGAGCCTAGCTCATATTTTTTAGAAAAACTTACAACAAATTTAAGGGTATTCTCATCTTATTTTAAAAAGGAACAATTTTGAATACATGATTTTATTTTGTTTTTTGTGTGCATTTAATATTAACATGTTAATGTAAAATTTTGTTTAAAAAATATTAATGGTTATGATTTTCTTTTCCCTGAGTGTATAATTCAAGAATATCGTTTAATTATAGTGCTTGTCACGACGAAATAAAAATCAGATTTTGCTTACTTTGATTTATTCATAGTGTAATCATGTTACTCTGCACTTCTTCTTCAACTTAGATGCGCTCGACTACATTTACATAGCGAATAGCGTGAATGACAGGGCCTTTCTGATAGCCGAACCACATCCCGAACAGCAGAGCACCGATGGTCAGGAGCAGGACGAGGAGGAGCTGGAGGACATGGCGGTGACGGAGGATGCGGATGATGGGGGGCAGGAGGATACGAATAACAACAATAGCAACCGCTACTACAGCTCCGGGAAGAGACGTGCGGATTTCGTGGGCTCCCTGGCGCTGAATCCACCACCACCCACCGATGCGAGCACCACCACCGGCTCACCCTTGGCCACCGCCGCCTTGGCAGCCGCAGCTGCCAGTGCCTCGGTGGCGGCGGCGGCTGCCAGGATCACGGCCAAGGCGGCCCACAGGGCTCTAACGACCAAGCAGGACGCTGGATCCTCGCCAGCATCCTCGCCAGCGCTCCAACTGATCGACATGGACAATAACTACACGAATGTGGCCGTTGGCCTGGGCGCCATGCTGCTAAACGACACCCTCCTCCTCGACGGCAACGATTCCAGTTTATTCGGGGAGATGATGTCGAACCGGAGTGGCCAGCTGGATCTGACCAACGGGAGTGCGGGCCTCAATGTGACCACGAGCAAAGTGGCCGAGGACGATTTCACGCAGCTGCTGCGAATGGCCGTCACATCGGTGCTGCTCGGACTGATGATACTGGTCACCATTATTGGTGAGTACCCCTGAAACCGAGAGTTGCACTCAAAAAATTTTAAGGGCTTTTAAATTATTGGCACCCCCTTAACTCAAAACCAAAACAAATTTTTAAATTTTGTAAAGAAGTTCTTAAATGAAAATCAAAGACCTAAATCCTTTATTCAAGCATTGTTGATAAAAAGTTAATTTCAAGTGCCAACTTATATGCATGTATTTGTTATTTAACTTTCGTAAAAACACAATAATATTTTAACATTTCCTGATATATGCGTCAGGGATCCTGGAGTCAAAATCTAACACTGAAAAATTAAGTAATATTTAGTTTTTAAAAAGTAAAAGCTTATTAAAGACTTGTTTGAGACTAAAGGTCAAATTCTAAGCAACATTTTACCCCGAAAATATTTTAAAGCAAGACCAAAGACTATTTTCAAAAAATTAAACTTAATTAAAGACTTGTTCAAATTTAACACAATATATATATATTTTTCAAAGTCCATTAAAATATCGTTTTGAGTGTAAGCCGAAGCCCAAACATAGACATAATTATTTCAGTCCCTATGCCAGCCAAACCACCCGAAATAAATTCCTCGAATGCCAGTCTCAGGCACGCGCCTGCTGCCTGCTGCCTGCCTGCAAATCCTTGGGGAATATGGCAAACAATTCAATAAGAAGGACGCAGAGGGACTCGAGGGGCGACGGCTTCAGCTGTAGATAATAAAATACGCGTAACTGATATTTATGATACTGGCAGGGCATTTTATATTATTTATTATTGTTGTTATTATGGCTCAGATGCTGAAGCAGCAGCATTGGCTCAGTCTCAGTTATTAATAAGGCAGCTCAATGACGAGGAACGAAAAGCGGAATGGGAAGGGCGTTCGCATTGGGAATGAGAACAAGAACCGGAAACGGGGCCGCTTTTGTTGTTGGCTACATTCATTACACGCATTTAGCCATAAATCCGATGGCAAACAAACCGGCATCCATCTAGGCAAAGACATGCCGCATTAAAATTGACAGTCAATCAATCAATCACAGCTCCCCGCCCAACTCAATCCAATTGCTGCGCAAAACTTTATGTTCACGTTGTAAAATCCAAAACAAAATGTATAAAAATCAGGCAGTAACAAATGAAAATGAGGCGAGGAAGCAAAATAAGCAAAGCAGCCAGCTGAAATTGATTTCATTAATTTAAGTAGATTTCATTTCATTTCATTTCATTTCATTTAAAACGGGCGGCGCAAAAGTCAAGAGGCAAATAAAAATAACGAGCGCTGAAAAGTATGCTACGATTCTTAACGTCACTCCCAAAGGATCCGGGCTGAATTGAGCCCGGAGCCATTCACATGTCTCGCTTCCTCTCACTTGCTTTCATTTTGATTTCCTACTAATTTGTGTTTATTTAGTTTTTCCTTTTCCGCCGGCCTTTCTATCCATCCCATTCCGCCCTTTAGTTTTCTTTTCTTTCCTCGCTTTTGAACTTCTGCAGTTTTTGTCGTCGTCCAAGTGGGACGGCACAAGCATTTAGCATTTAAAAAGAAAATGCTAATGAGTTTCAATGCTAATTTTAGCTAGATTGCTTCACGCTTTTGGTCACTCTGCAGCACAAAAAAAAGTATCCGGAACCAACTGTCGACCGAGGAGGATGAATAAAAATATACGAATCTAATTGTTATATTTTTTGACCAACTTATTTATTCGTTTTTGAACTGATTTCGTTAAGACTTTAAGAATTTAACTTATAAAATTATTGATTGCTTTGATGAAATTATTAATAGTATTTAGACTAAAAGCTTAAAAATACAACTTCTCATTTTTTTTACATTATTAATAAATGAAACAATTTATTCTTAATCTTTTAAGTAAATTAACTTTAAAAATTTATTTGTTTGATATAAGTTAAAAATTGTGTTTAGATAACTTAACAATATTTTCCGATGAATTGTTCGACTTGGCAAATTTGTTGATGTGACGATTAATACTGACTAAATAAAAATAAAAAGCTACAATGTCTGTACAGAATTTATATATTTCTAGGCGTTGGAATTGAGTACTCTGATCAAGAATATATATACTTAAAATCAGTGGTCGCCAAATAACTTGTCGAAGTGTGTGCCATCTTCGTTTTTTTACTATGCGTGAACGAATACATATATCCTTTTACTCGACGAGTAACGGGTATGATAATTAATTCAATGTTAGTTTATTTTTGTTTTTACTTATTTTATTGTAACTTTTCTTATTAAGTTTGGTTTTCTGTTGATGCAATTGCTTGAGCGACCCCCGTGGAGAAGACACTGCATGGAACTCAAAAACGCAAACAGCTGGCAGGCATGAGGCTTGTCTACTTGCCTTCACTTTGACACTCAAGTATCTAATTGCATGTGCCTGGTGTGTGTGTGTGTGTGTGTGGGTGCGTATCTGTGTGTCTCCGGGCAGAGCCTGCGAGTGTGTGCGAGCCCTCCTGCCGTCGACTGTCGGCGGATTCAATGCCACAAATTGCATGTCTCGCACCTGTAGTGGCTGGCTTTCTTTTTGCAGCCTCAAGTGCGCCACAAGTAGTCGGTGACAGTGGCGGAAAAGTGGGGGCGGAGGTAGTGAAAAAGTCGGGGGAAAGTCAAAAAAAAAATAAACGCACCAGCAGACATCAAAGGTGGTGTCCTCTCCCGAGTCCCTCGAGCCAACCCTCACGTCAATTTCACACCCTTCGTCCTGAGCTGGGGCTTTTGGGAAAGTTTATGACAGCGCGATTAGCTCATGTCGTTTATTTTGGCTTTTGTGAACTTTGTCTTTGTCTGCCAGCTCAAGTGCAACCGAAATTGCAACAGTGCTGTGCTGGGAGACAAGCTTAATAAGATTCCCATTTCATTGGTGTCCTGGTTTTCGGGCTGCCAAAGAAGTTTGCCAATTCGCGAAAACTTTATCTGTTCCGCTGCGGTTCTTGGTTTCGTTTTCAGTCATCAGCTGCAGCTCGAATTGAATCGAAAACTTTTGGTCGCAAGTCAATTTTCGCAATTAGGCTGCTAAAAGCCTTGCACTTGAAAACCCCCACCAATACACCCAAACTCTCCATTTTATTGAGTTTACCCTTCGATCATTGCAGGCAATGTCTTTGTCATCGCGGCCATTATCCTGGAGCGGAATCTGCAAAACGTGGCCAACTATCTGGTGGCCTCATTGGCCGTGGCCGATCTCTTCGTGGCTTGTCTAGTGATGCCCCTTGGAGCCGTTTACGAGGTGAGTGAGGGTGTCCAAAAAAGCACAAGCGGTGCAGGATTTATTTAAATATTTCATTACACATAAGCACAGATTACACAAATCATTAGTATAGTATACTTAAGACCGATTTATCAAAGTTATGTTTAGTTTAGACTTTGAGTTAAGTCCCTGTTTCGAAAACATATGATTTCTGAATATTATGTTAGAGTTTATCTGACTCAGAGCTCTTAGCTAGAGGCACTGTTCTGGTTACAATAAAAATAACAATAACATTTAAAAATGTATCGTGTTTTCGAAAAATTTACCTTCATGTTATTATATTATTGACAGATAAAATGGTGAAACCTTAACATGACATTGAGAAATCGGCTTACATTAAATGTTAATAAATTTGAAGGATTAGTATGTGTTCCTAGCGTTTGATTAATGTTTACACAGACCATAATTTTTGTGACATCTTATAAAGTCAAATAGATTTTAGTTTAAAGTATTTGGTGTGAAGAAAACCTTATGGTAAACAAAGTAAAGATAACTCTTAACGCCAAAATTGGATTGTTTTTAAAAGCATTAACGCCAATATCTGTGGACAAGCAATTCCATAAAAAATACCAATATGCTGACAAACATTCCGCCTATGTAAATGCATATGAAGACCCAAAAAAAATCTATCGACAGCGGTCTAAAATATTCGTCAGTTTCGATAGGCAATTTTTTTAAGTTCTTAATTTCACGGAACTTATTGAATCCCATCTGAACCCATTTGTGTATGAGTCCAGACTTGAATACAGTACGGTAATAATCTATGAAGAAAAACCTCAGCGCGGACTTTGGAGAAAGGGGCACTCGGATGGGACGCATACTGGAGCAGAGTTCCTTGCCAGCAATTTGAAAGAACTCCCTCTTCATCCGCTGCTGGTATAGCCGAAATGCTCCCCAATTGGGCGTTCTTATCACATACGCGTAACTGCTGTTCAAACAGGTAATATGGTGAAACATTGTCTCTGTATCAACGACAAATACGAGGTCTGCCAGCGATCTGGGCATAACATCATACATAAAAGCCTGCGGAATTGTTGGATCGTCCGTCATGATCCTAAGACCACTAGCTCGCATCGTTTCAACGTTCGTGATCGGTGGTTCCCAAATGCCCGTTGTCATGGTGGTGGACATTACCGATACACTTGCACTTATTAAGAGTCCCAGGAAAAAAAATGAGAATACTTCCACTAACTTATCCGCCAAGGGCAATCGATGCAACTGACCACCGGGCAGCGGAATAGCCAGGTGAAAACGAATGGTGTTGAAGATCGGGTCCAGAAACGATCGTCGTCGTTGGGAGAAGTACTTAATCAGAAACACGCCGAGACTTGAAAGGAGTAGGGCTGGATACATGCCGGGGCTCAGGATCTTGTCAATATATCTGTACGGTGGAATCATCCGACGATTCGGCACTGCCAGGCAGATCTGAGATTCCGCCACCATGGGACTGAAGGCCCTAATGCTGTTGTCGTCCACCACGTTGGCCACTATATCGGGGGTCTGGTTACCTGGCATCTGAAAAATCTCGTACCGAGCAGTCTGCTGTCCCGGAATCGGAATAATGTTGATGGTGGCGTTAAGGTATCGTGTGAACTCCACAATCATCAGGCCAATGGAGCCGGACAAACTAACATTGCTTCCAGTCAAATCCGCTTGATCCGATGAGTTGTACTGAAAAGGTGTTTCATAAATTGTTTATTGAAAAAAATAACTCATTAAAAAACTCACCCAAAACACAAATGGAGGATCATTAACTACTTGAACTGTTAAATTGAAGCGAATCTTTCGCAGCGCCTCCAAAAACGAATGTACGACTCCAAACCTAAGGACGTAAATTTTTCCCAAATAATAATAAGACCACATGTCGATATTGGTCTTGTCACGGACAATGAGCACTGTTTTATCGATACTCCGATCCCAACACCACTCGAAAAACTCGCGAATAACTTCAGTGGTAAAGTGCTTCTTCTCATTACGCGGTGAAGCATATATGAAGGCAATGAACCTTAGGTTTTTTCGAAGATTAGCGTCATTAATGGCCTCCATTATGGGATCATCCAAGCCAGTGAAAAAAACAATTATTAAAACTCCAGAATGGTTATAGCTCCGATTAAGCGGTCCCTCATCGGGTCGAATGGTGTAGAGCGGTAGAGAAAATCTATCCATTAGAAGCTGTTCCAGCGAAGGATTTAGATCGACTTTGCCCCTATATGTGATGATACTATGAATTCCAAAATATTTCTGCACATCTGTGAGTATGTGGAACAAGCCACTGATTTCCATGTCCAGATTGTACTCCATTTCTCCGACTGGAATCTGCAGTTGGCTGTTGGCCAGAAGGCCAAAAAGTATAAAGTTCCGTATGTAGAAACGACTCCCCATGGCTGCTTTTCGACTTTGAACCTATCGTGCGACAGTTGACCCTTTATAAAGCCTGGCAACCCTTGTTTGCTTTGTTATTAGAAGCCATTACATTTTACACTCCACACTTTGGTAGCATCAAATTTAATAAGCCATCAACTTTTATTGTCTATTTGACTAACCATCTTTATGGCCACCCCCTTCTTCTTTTTCTGCTCACAGATTAGCCAGGGCTGGATACTTGGCCCGGAATTGTGCGATATCTGGACCTCGTGCGATGTCCTCTGCTGCACAGCCTCGATTTTGCATTTGGTGGCCATTGCCGTGGATCGGTAAGTAATTACTTAGACTCCGCCACATCAAGCTCTTGATAAATTGCCCCAGAAGTAAGCTTGTAAGTGGCGTGTAAGACAAGCCGTAAGCTGCGGGGTGCCCTCTCTAAATATAGACATATCCGTACTTGCAGGGATATGTGTGAAAACGTGGCAGAGTGTGGGTTTGAGTTAAGCGAATCAATCAATCAAGTTTTTAACATGTCAAATCTCTTTGCAAATCCAGTACGGTACGAAAAAATAAGCCTAAAACAGGCAGACAACTTGTAGGAAATATGTATCTGTTCATTTCAGACGTCATACGACTGACGAATGCCCTGTAATCACAGAGTTATTTGCCATTAATGGAGGTACAGCTTTAATAGATACCCGTACAATGAAATTGAAAGACACTTGAGGTTTCTCTGCTGTTTGTTTTTCACATTTCTTTCGTCCCCGCACTCGACTGTCATCTGATGGCTATATCAATTTGAAAAAGAATAAATATATTCCCTGCCATGGTATTTGGCAACCATACATATATGTGAACATGGCTGGCTGCATGCCATCAATCAATTTGCAGCAAACATTTCAATCAATCGATTAAAAAACAGAACGCAAAATGGCAAACAACAAAGGGCGCCCAAAGGGGCGTGGCTGGGCGGTAACGGAGAACGGAGAACAGAGAACAGGGAAAAACGAATTGCATTATTCACTCGGAAAAAGCAGGGGGTACAGGCAAGTTGAACTCGTTGTCGATCCGAATGTCAATTTTATTGTCAAGCATCCAATGCCAGCTAATTTTCGTGCACTTGCCGCCAATGACAATGGCAGTGGTAAAATGTTCTCCACTGCAGCGGAAAATGGGTGAAAAAGCTGGTGTGGAAATATAGTTGTCCTGGCTGGCAGTTTTATGGCCACTTAGCTGCAAGATTGCTGCAATTTTCCAATCGGCCCGCACGGCGTATACGTAATGCAGTTTGAATGGCTACGACCCATGACACTTTTGCCTGTTGTGTGTTTAATGAACACTCAAATGCAAAGGCCAAAACCCCAGCCACGCCCCCTCCCCCATGGACATTGTAATTTTCAAAATGTTTGCTGCACTTGACCGGGTAATTTCATTTTATTAGGAACTGGGCTCCGACCTGCGAGCTTCCAGCTGCCGTTGGCCAATTCCCGTATGGCCCGAAATTATATGGTCGCATTAATTGGTTCAGCTGCAGGTCAATGCGGGCCAATTATTTGGTGGTTTCAATTAGAGCCACGGACCGACCAATCGAGCCATAAATAATGCAAATCGCCTTCTTTGCCGCTGCAACGTGGCGTATACGCAATAGACGGGGGCAGCTCATTTAAATAGAACCACCTACATTCACAGAAAAATGTGTTTAAAATGTATAATGACACACATTTGTTTTAGTTATTTTTTTGTATACCTAAGTATTTTATCTCTATAATTTGAACAATTAAATGATAAAAAATCTAAAAAAAAATTACAAATTATTTTTCAAAATTAATTTTAAGACATGGTGAAACGAAATGTTAAAATATTAGAAAATAAATTGGTTATAATATATTATTGACAAAATATTTTAGTAAAGGCTTAAAACTAAATTTTTAATTACGAACATAAAATGGAATCGTATTTGCAAATATAATTATTTATAATGAATAACGCGGTAATAACCAAAATTTTAATTTAAAAAAAAAGTTTCTGTGTACAAATGCAAAGAGAAATTTGTTTTTTGTCACTAATTAATGCATTCAAATACTCCAAAATGAGCGCAACGCGTTTGTGAAATTTGTTTTCAACCACCAACCGGCATTCAAATTAAAGGAACTACCATAAAGTGGGCTTTGGAAAACGATCCTTTTGAACGGGGCTTGGTCTGCGGTCAGGTATGGAAGAAATACCCCCGAAAGTTCCTCCTGATTCCCTGCGAGGTGGCTGTCAATTGGCAAATTGAAGCGCTGGCTCCGCAAATTGCCTGTCAATAAACAAAGCCAAGTGATACTTAGATTTCGCATGCATATCAATCAGCCGAAGCCCCGGCTTTAACATTTCGACATAACAGAGACGCCCTATCTTTGGCACCTCCCAAACGCCACTCGCCTGTCAGCTGGACACCGAAAAGAAAGCCCAAGTCCTACTCCACATTATGATTGTGTTCCGCAGTTGTGGAGCGGGCAATGGACCACTTCCAATTCTGCTGGCAAGTATGCAAATGACGAGGCATGACAGCAGTGATGATGATTTGCCCGAGTGCCACATCATCGTCAAGATAAAAGGCCCCCGGCTCAGGTCCAGACTTTCGGCTGAAGTTGAGTCGCATCCGGAGTTGGGGAAACAATTACCCGGAGAGGACTTAGGGGCACATTTTATTTGTTAGTTGTCACTAGATATTTAAAATGGAAAGTCTTTGTTTTATCACCAAATGAAATGAGAATTAATGTGCTTTTAAGCAAGCAGGAGGCTTTGTCAGCAGGACGAAACGAGATGCGAGCAGTGCATTAATAAATTAAGTTTGTCAAATGGTCCCCGACTCTAAGCGCCCAAACTGGATGATAAATAGTTGCCGACATTCGACTACAATAATATTTGCAAGTATTTGCCATTAGGGGAGCCGAATCGTTGACAATGCGATGCCGGGGACGGTGAGGAAATGGTTAACATTTTCCGAGTTCATTTTCCATGTCAGTAATTTTTAAGCAATTAAGACAAAGTGCCAACAGTGTTTGCAGAATCTGGAGATTGGAGGGGTTCACAAAGGGAGAGGAACAAATAAAACAAAGAACACAAAAACGGAAAACGAGAAGCGAGTGAACTGAGCAGCAATGCCAGAGAATTTTTCCTTTACTATTTGCCAGCGCAATAAAGCCTATACACAGAAAAAAACATATAGATTTGTGCAAAGGAATGAAAGAACACAGCTGCTGTTTACACAGTACAGTTAATATTAACATCTTAAATAGTTTATTTGGAACTTTCATGGTATAAATGTGCCCTTGCTCACATTTAAAGGGACAGTGTGACCATGCTACTCAATAAGATGCACAATTTAGTACATTTTCTTATTTATTTACAAGCAGTTCATATGCATTGTAATAATCAAATAAGAACTAAGTTAATAATATGGTTAAGGCCGTAAGCTAGTTACTGTCCAGCAAAATGTTATTTTCCAGTTTCAGTAAATAAATAATTGTTTTTTTGGTCATTTGTGTTAGTACATTTTGAAAAACAAAGAACTCGTTCTCTTACTTTTTTTCTTTGTGTAATAAAAGGAACCGATTGCTGGGAGGCCGCACCAACAAATGGCGCCTGGACATTAATCTTCATGGCACTGACCCAATGTTTTGGCCGATTCAGTCGAATTCTGTTGGCCGCCGGAATGTATGCACATATAGAGCAGGCCCCATATACACTCGAGCTCGATGTGCATAAATTTCATGGTCTGCATGCTGCTGACGTCATTATTAGTGGCAGCACACGAAACCAACAACAACGGCAGCGGCCGCACCGAATGATAAATGCCTCGCGGCTTTGCGTTCCACGATGGTCGAAACCATTTAAATGCCAAGTTTTCGCCAGACCAAAATTCCCTCCATCTTTTCCCACACTTGCACCCAGATCATGGGACTATCCTGATTGCTGACTGCTAACCACATTGACCAACAGTTTGTCGGCCATGTTGTTGCCGTTCTCATGTTGTTCTTGTGCTGTTGCTGCCGCTGCTCACACATTTATGACATATTCAATTAAATTTCAATTAAGTTTACACAGTTTTTCGTAAATATTTTACAATTTAGCACTTAAAACGTAATTGCATGTTCATATCCGTTGCCATCGTCGATGTCCTGAACTCCGAGTTGCTGTTCTCATAGTTATCGCTAATGTTGCTGTTGTTGCTGTCGTTCCAACCACAACTGCAGTACAACAATGGGGACAACAACTACAACCGACACTGCGACCACTACGTCCCATGTGCTGTGTGCCATGTGTAATTGTAATTGCTGTTGTCACACGATTATTTTTTTGTTGGGCTTGGTCGAAAGCCAACTACTAAATACAAAAAATACGACAATGGGAACGAGTTACAATTTTCATACAAGCCTATCTACCCCCGAAACAAGTCAAAACTTAATTAAATTAAAATAAATATCCTTTATTTATTGTTAATATAAGAAATATTTGTGTTCTATTGCTTTAAAAGAAAGGGAAACACTTAACGGTATTTAAATAACTTTATTATAACCATCACCCAGTTTTATGAAAACTTATTTTCCGATATCATCTTAATGGTATACTTTACTACTCAATTAATGAATTTGATAATAAACAAAGAATACATTATAGATAAATTAAAAAGTACCTCCTCTTTGTGTAAGATATTTTTAAACATTTTCAATTTAAATAGTCTTATTTAATCCCACTGTAATTCCTAATCGGGTTTAAACATTTAAGGAAACAGTATTTAATCTAGGTATTCATGTGGAATTTTTCTAGCTAATATTTTGATTCACTTAGCGCAAATGAGAAAACTTTTCGCCGCCACTGTGCACGCTCGGCTAAGTGCAAATGCACATTGTACTTATTTTACATAATTTTCATGCTGTCGCGTTGCGTTTTAGGCAATGGCTGCTGCTCACCGCTGAACCCTGACCCCCAAATCCTTAAACCTTGCAACCGCTTTACCGCAACTTTCATGTGCGGCGTGAAGAGAAGGGGCAACTTTTGTAATTGCACAAATGTTGGAACACTTTTTGGGCAACGGTGGTGGTCGGTAACTGGACAAGCTCAGCTGGCAGATTTGGGATTGGCCGAATGAAAGCATAACCTTAATTAAATTGGCAGTTAAACAAACGCATTTAACAGTATAATTAGTTTTCCTGGCCCACAGAGAATGATTTTGGGAACATGACTACGCTTCATTTGCTTTACACATTTGATGTGTGTAATGTGTAATGTGTGTGTCTCTTTTCAAATGTTTAATGAGACAAGGAAGCAAACAGATGACGAA